ACAGGGAAGAAAGGTAAGCAGCAGAATATGGACCCTGGACTTCAGGAAAGCAGACTTCGACTCCCTCAGGGAACTGATGGGTGGGATCCCCTGGGGGAATAACATGAGGGGGAAAGGAGTCCAGGAGAGCTGGCTGTATTTCAAAGAATCCCTATTGAGGTTAGAGGGACAAACCATCGGGATGTGTAGAAAGAATAGTAAATATGGCAGGCGACCAGCTTGGCTTAACAGTGAAATCCTTGAGGATCTTAAACATAAAAAAGAAGCTTACAAGAAGTGGAAAATTGGACAAATGACCAGGGAAGAGTATAAAAATGTTGCTCGGGCATGTAGGAATGAAATCAGGAGGGCCAAATCGCACCTGGAGCTGCAGCTAGCAAGAGATGTTAAGAGTAACAAGAAGGGTTTCTTCAGGTATGTTGTGCAACAAGAAGAAAGCCAAGGAAAGTGTGGGCCCCTTACTGAATGAGGGAGGCAACCTAGTGACAGAGGATGTGGAAAAAGCTAATGTACTCATTGCTTTTTTTGCCTCTGTCTTCATGAACAAGGTCAGCTCCCAGACTGCTGCGCTGGGCAACACAGCATGGGGAGTAGGTGGCTAGCCCCTGTGGAGAAAGAAGTGGTAAGGGACTATTTAGAAAAGCTGGACGTGCACAAGTCCATGGGGCCGGATGCGTTGCATCCGAGAGTGCTAAAGAAGCTGGCGGCTGTGATTGCAGAGCCATTGGCCATTATCTTTGAAAACTCATGGCGATCAGGGGAAGTCCCGGACGACTGGAAAAAGGTTAATGTAGTGCCCATCTTTAAAAAAGGGAAGGAGGAGGATCCTGGGAACTACAGGCCAGTCAGCCTCACCTCAGTCCCCAGAAAAATCATGGAGCAGGTCCTCAAGGAATCAATCCTGAAGCACTTACACGAGAGGAAAGTGATCAGAAACAGCATGGATTCACCAAGGGAAGGTCATGCCTGACTAATCTAATTGCCTTCTATGATGAGATTACTGGTTCTGTGGATGAAGGGAAAGCAGTGGATGTATTGTTTCTTGACTTTAGCAAAGCTTTTGACACTGTCTCCCACAGTATTCTTGTCAGCAAGTTAAAGAATTATGGGCTGGATGAATGCACTATAAGGTGGGTAGAAAGTTGGCTAGATTGTCGGGCTCAACGGGTAGTGATCAATGGCTCCATATCTAGATGGCAGCCAGTATCAAGTGGAGTGCCCCAAGGGTCGGTCCTGGGGGCGGTTTTGTTCAATATCTTCATAAATGATCTGGAGGATGGTGTGGATTGCACTCAGCAAATCTGCGGATGATACTAAACTGGGAGGAGTGGTAGATACGCTGGAGGGGAGGGATAGGATACAGAAAGACCTAGACAAATTGGAGGATTGGGCCAAAAGAAATCTGATGAGGTTCATCAAGGATAAGTGCAGGGTCCTGCACTTAGGACGGAAGAATCCAATGCACCGCTACAGACTAGGGACCAAATGGCTAGGCAGCAGTTCTGCAGAAAAGGATCTAGGGGTGACAGTGGACGAGAAACTGGATATGAGTCAACAGTGTGCCCTTGTTGCCAAGAAGGCCAATGGCATTTTGGGATGTATAAGTAGGGGCATAGCCAGCAGATCGAGGGACATGATCGTTCCCCTCTATTCGACATTGGTGAGGCCTCATCTGGAGTACTGTGTCCAGTTTTGGGCCCCACACTACAAGAAGGATATGGAAAAATTGGAGAGAGTCCAGCGAAGGGCAACAAAAATGATTAGGGGTCTGGAACACATGAGATATGAGGAGAGGCTGAGGGAACTGGGATTGTTTAGTCTGCAGAAGAGAAGAATGAGGGGGGATTTGATAGCTGCTTTCAACTACCTGAGAGGTGGTTCCAAAGAGGATGGTTCTAGACTATTCTCAGTGGTATCAGATGACAGGACAAGGAGTAATGGTCTCAAGTTGCAGTGGGGGAGGTTTAGGTTGGATATTAGGAAAAACATTTTCACTAGGAGGGTGGTGAAACACTGGAATGCGTTACCTAGGGAGGTGGTAGAATCTCCTTCCTTAGACGTTTTTAAGGTCAGGCTTCACAAAGCCCTGGCTGGGATGATTTAATTGGGGATTGGTCCTGCTTTGAGCAGGGGATTGGACTACATGACCTCCTGAGGTCCCTTCCTACCCTGATATTCTATGATTCTATGATAGGTGGAGTGGAGGTGAGCTGGGGCTGGGCGAGGAGCTGCTGCTGGGTGCTCTGCACCCACCAAATTTTCCCCGTGGGGGCTCCAGCCCCAGAGCACCCAGGGAGTCAGTGCCTAAGGCGCCACTTTCGATATGATCGGTGGGGGGAGCGGCTGCTCCCCCGCCTAGCTATGCTACCTTGCCCCTAGGAGTCAGAGGACCTGCCGGATGCTTCCTGGGAGCCACCCCAGGTAAGCATCGCCGGGACTCCCCACCTCGCCCCCCCGGCAGGTCCCTCTGGCTCTTAGGGGTGGGGCACGGTGAGCACCCAGTACAGTGGCCCATGAGACCCTCCTGCACAGTTCTGGAGGCAGTCAGGGGACAGGGGAGGGGTGTTGCTGGGGCAGGGGTCCCGGGGGGGCATCAAGGAATGTGGGGGGTTGGATAGGGCAGGAGTCCCGGGGGACAGGGCGGGCCACGACCCCCTCGTGGGGTGAGGAGGGAACCGGTTGTCAAGATTTTGGCAGCTCATCACTGGCCAAAGCTGAATTCCCATTTGAACTAAAGAATATCTTTTAGAAGAAAACATCCAATCTTGATGGGGCAAAGTAGCTTGACTCCAGTGGGGCTGCAGAGGTTCATCTGTACAGAGTAATTTTGAAAATGGGGCCTTATGTATGAACTGTAAATGTAAATGTAAACATTATTTAATTTGGAAGCCGAATCTTTACCACATCTGGCCACTTTAGTACATTGCCGCATCCACAACTCCTTTTTCCCCTAATGCAGCTGTACCTTCAATAGCTACAGTTTAGCCACAAATTATATATGATTGGACAATTAAAAAACACCATGTTATTCTCCTTGTCTACCTTCTATCCCTCAAGACCCAGTATAGCTACAGACTTGGGTTCTGATCCTATAAACACTCAGAGACTTGCAAATACACATCCGGAGGGGACTGAAGGGTCAGGCCATGATGTATCAGTCTGTAAAAGCTTTAGGAAAAAATAGTTCCTACACAAGAACATCTTCCAACTTAGATTACTGCAGCCACTAATAAAGTTTTCCAAAACACTCCAAGAGTATGTAAAATTAAAGCATTAAAATTAGGCTTCCTTATTAGCTGGGGGGATTGTTATTAGCTGAAAATGAGATTGAATTACAGCACCATGGACTCCTAAATCTCTAGTTTATCTATGGATTCATAACATTTTTGTGTGTTTATAAAAAGGAAAAGTATCTTATCTGATACTTTGTGTAAAGTTTTAGCTTGATGTTCGCGGAACTATTAATATCAAGAATAGAGGTGGTCAAATCATTTATAATATAATAAATAATATTCATTGCTATTTAACCCTTTCTCCTATATGCATATTGTTCTCTAACTGATCCTATCTAGTCATGTATTTGATACTTGCAAACATTAGTCAAATAATTGTAAGAAAGTTTATGCCATGCGTTCACATCAGCTAGTCCTTATTCAGAACGTGCAATCCATCACCCGAGTCACGTGGTATTGTTATACTCTCTGTCTGGATGATTTAAACTTTTTAAATAGGAAAATAATCAACAATGCATTTTCTGGTATGAATTTTGGGACAAACCATGCACAAAAATAGGTGGAACTTCCAGGATTAACAAATATGTTCGCACATACCTACTGACCATTTGAATGCTCAAGAATAATGAATAAAATAATCTCACAAAAGATAGCAAATTGACCTTCTTGCTTTTATTCCTTCATACAAGGAAGTGTTTTCACCATCAATGTGTTGCAAAATCATAGCTTATATGGGGAAAACTGACAGAAGCACCAGAACACTGCAAATTTCATCATCCTCTTGCAGAAGGAGAATTCCTCCCCTCTTCCCACAAAGGGGGTGGGACGGTCACATGGAGACCTAACATCCTTACATTATCCTAATTCCCATGACAGCATAGCTCCAAATTTACGAGTGAGAATATGGCAACTGCAGATTAATGCAATAATCTGTTCATTGATTATTTTCCATACGTGCAGAATAAAACCTCAATCCTGCAACAATTTACATAGGTGTTTAACTTTATACGCAATGAGCTATTCCACTGAACTCAGTAAATGCATTTTTCATGAATGGGGCTGCTCACAGTATATAAGGTCTCAGCAGGGATGGAGCTAAAAGCAAAAAGCATACTAAAGAAACACACCAGGCAGAAAAAATGAAACCAATTGGAAAAAAAGCAGAGATGTGCAAATAAATGTTACAAGTTTAAAAGGTCTGTTTCCAAGCTGATGTAAATTGATGTAGCTCCCCTGACTTCGTTAGATCTACACTAATTTGCACCAGCTGAAAATACGGCCCAAAGTATTTACACTGAACTAATTGCTATTCAGAATCCAGGTAGAAATAAGCAGAGGAAAAAAGGGGGAAAGAGGAATAAAGAAAAGAAAATGGGAATGTGGAAATAGGGAAAGAATGGATGTTTTAGGCCTGTGGTGTGTCCTATTTGATCATGATCAAATCTTCTAGAACTTTTCTAAAATATCATTCATTCCATTTAACAGCTTCACAAAAGCTGCATGTAAAGCTGTATAAAATCTGTGAAAGCAGATATTGCAAGCTATGTAATAATATTTTTTGCATATTTTTTTTCAGTATTTGTTAAATTCCCAGGCAGTGCCTGCTCCTGTTCCCACTAAAATCAATATGAGGAACTTCAGGTCTAACGTATATACACAGCAAACTCTTTCTGTGTACAGATACTCATTAAAAAGAGTGTTTATATAACTTGTGTTCCTGTTACAACTTACCTGTAAAATATAATATATATTTGTTTGTTTGTGCAGTAATTCCATCAAGCTGGTGAATCTGTGCTCTATATTTATCAGCACATGGCTGACAGCAGCTGGGTTCATACATTTGGTAAGTTAACTTGAAAATACTTCATCAGGTTTATTTCATGGATTACCTCCTCTGAGCTACTTTATTACCTGAAATTACCTTGCTTGGGATAATCCTTTGACACTGTTACAGAGTACAGTAAAGAAAGGCATCACAGCTGGCTGACTTTCCAGCCTTGTACCCAAAACGAATTCACTTCACTAACCTCCGTGTTTAGGTTCAGAAATAGTTACATAAGTCTGGGACTTGGATTTTAATAGAACTCTTTTAATAATCACATCCTACCACTAGGTGGCAATATTGCCTTAATAATTACCAAGAGTACTTGTCAGAAAAGGCTGGTACAGCATAAATGGTAATGCATCCGATGAAGTGAGCTGCAGCTTACGAAAGCTTATGCTCTAATAAATTTGTTAGTCTCCAAGGTGCCACAAGTCCTCCTTTTCTTTTTTACGGATACAGACTAACACGGCTGCTACTCTGAAACCTGTCATAAATGGTAATGACATCCTGGAAAACACATGGCTTCGCCAAAAAAGCAGTTTTGTATTTTCAGAAGAATTAATCTGATTTACTAACATTTTAGAGTAGGGTTCTTAGAGATTAGTTCTCTGCCTTATTCAGTTTTTTTAAAAAAATCATATCACTTTCAGCCCCTGACAAAAATATTATCTACGTTTGATGGTTTACGCTCTTATTCAGTATTGATTAGCTGTATGTTTTAAACACTTCTATAACTAAAAAGATCTCAGTTATAAAATAATGGCATTAATATGCATTTTAAAAGTTAAAAAAGCAATAACAGTTTTGAAATGAATTGTTTACTGTCAATTATATTTTGTAAATACAATTTAATATGACTTTAGATGTACATTGTGTAGCAGATAATTTTGCCCAGCTCAGGGTCAGTAAGATATCAGGTTGTTAGCAGCAGCAATCTATGCAACAACAGATTTCGGGCCAGATTCTGATTTCAGTTACATCGGTGTAAGTCTGGAGTAACTTCATTGACTTCAATTGAATTATTCTGAATTTACATTAGTGTACATGTGGTTAAAATTAGACCCATGATCTTTTAATTATGGAAGGTAGTCGTTTGTCCAAATGTCTGTTTTCCACTCTAAGAAAATATTCATATCTTACCTACCATTTCAAAATTTGAATGCCCTATAATGTCCTTATTTCTGTGGATGACTACGTTTCTGACACCTATATCACACAGGAAAATGATAAAAGACAAAAACATCCTGGCACTTGCGGGTGAACCACCTTTCAAAAAGTGATTGCTCTGTATCTGACCTATCAGACCTCATCCTCAAAGGAAATCTGCACAACGCTTTCAAAAGATGAGCTTAAATTCATTACTCTGCTAGACACCAAAAATCATGGACTGAACAGAGACACTGGATTTATAGCTTATTATAACAATCTGTAAGCCACTAGCCCCTTCTTTTGTCTTTTGACTGCAGAGGCGTTAACAGGCTATTCTACCTTGAATGGTCCCTTACAATATGTGATAAGTACTTATGCTAAAGAATCTGTTCCACCTTCCATTTAGCTGTGATGTGGGAGTTCCTTTCCGAGACTTTAAAAAGAGCTGTAGGTGGCTTGAATGCTTGTTTCTCTCGCCATAGGCGCTGACTCCATGGATGCTTCGGGGCTGGAGCATCCATGGAACAAAAAATTGTGGGTGCTCAGCTCCCACCAGCTACAGCTGTTCAGCAATGCCCTCAATCAGCTAATCTGGGGCATCCCTGATCAGCTGATCGGCAGTGCCACCAAACAGATGATCGGCAGCTGAGGGAGGGCCTTGGGTTAGGATGGAGTTTAGCGAGCAGTGGGAGGGTGGGGACCTCCGGGAAGGGGTGGAGTGGGAAGAGGCGGGGCGAGGGCTGGGACTCAGGGCTAGTGTGGGAAGAAATGAAGGGAGGGCGGAACCTTGGGGGAAGGGGCAAAGTGGGGGTGGGTCCTTAGGGTGAAGTAGTGGTAGAGCACCTCCAGGGAAAAATAAAAGTCAACACCTATGTGTCTCACCAACAGAAGTTGGTCCAATGAAATATATTATCTCACCCACCTTGTCTCTCTCATATCACAAATCCTCCTCTGTGACTTTTGTGATACAAGCGTCATCATCAGCCTGCATTTAGTGGCTCAAAAGACCAGACTCAGGGTAGGTCTACACTACCGCCTAAGTCAATCTAACTTATGTTGCTCAGGGGTATGAAAAAAACACACCCTGAGGGACGCAAGTTACAGCGACCCAAGCACTGTCCACACCGGTGCTATGCCGGCGGGAGATGTTATGTTGGCCGGAGATGGACAAAACATGTTATAATTGTGCCATGCATTGTTGTTAATTATTTATTAATAGTTCAGGTATTATTTTTCTAGGTTTGAGGAGAAGCAGGTTTTTAAAAGTTTAATAAGTTGTTGATAAGTATTAATTTTAAAAGTTTAATAAGTTGTTGATTTTCTGTTTCAGTGTTTCTCACACTTTCTTTTCATGCTTTTCAGTACAGGTGGTCTAATTCTACTGCAGGGTTTCTCAAATGTGTAATATCATAATGTGGACCGATGAAGTGAGCTGTAGCTCACGAAAGCTCATGCTCAAATAAATTGGTTAGTCTCTAAGGTGCCACAAGTACTCCTTTTCTTTTTGCATCTTATGAGCTGTAGCTCACGAAAGCTCATGCTCAAATAAATTGGTTAGTCTCTAAGGTGCCACAAGTACTCCTTTTCTTTTTGCGAATACAGACTAACACGGCTGTTACTCTGAAACCTGATCTTATGGAAAGATTATCATATGGATAGTTTCCTTCCCATTCATAATCGCGTATCATCCCTGTGGTAACTGCAATAGCTGGCTACATGGGAAAATAAAATTTGGAAATTACTTACTGTATTTTAGCTGCTTTTTAATAAAATTTCTGAACTGGAAAATAAGAGGGGGAGCCAGACCCTTGGAACCAGCCAGTTCTCCTAGGACTACCAGCAAGTGATCCACAGATCACAGTTTGGGAACCTCTGCTCTATAGTAATTTTAAACACAGATCTCTGTTACCTTGTTTGGAATTTGAAACCATTTTATTTACTGTTAGGAAACAAGATAAAGTCACTCTGGTTTGCTTCCCATTCTTGTAGCCTGAGGTGCTCAGGAAGCTTGGGAGGAATGGTTAAAAATGGCAAGCTTTTTTTTTTTTAATTGGTTTGTTTATTTCCATATTCAGAAGTTTAAGAGACAACTTTTCAATTCTGTGCCTTTTAAATTGTGCCCAAATATTTTCAAGTGCTTCTATTTGTTGGCATGTACTTATGCATGAATTGAATAACGGAGACTATCACTTGAGCATGCACAGAATTCTCCCAGAGTTTTGATTGCATACATCAATGCACTTACTAGCATTGCAGGTTCACTTCAAGGATCCTTTAGAAAATTTGCTCCTTGATGAATTTCAGACTGGAACCAGTCTTTGTAGTCAACCTAAGTTGTTATTGGTCACTGTCAGAGAAAGAATGCCAAACTAGATAGACCTCATGTCTGATCTAGCATGGCAATTCTAGTCTTCTTATAGATGCATGAAAACAGGGGGTTATAAAAGAACTCTAGCTTACAAGATCTCAACCAATTCGTTGGTCAGGCCATAACTCTTGATATGTGTAGCAGTTCTTTCTGCTGGGTATAGTGAGATCTGCTCAACTGTTTAGTCATCTATAATTATCTTTCCTTCTGATGGTTGGGCATAAATCATGCTACTGCCGATAGCTAGTAAAAACTTGAGTTTTGATTGTAGAAGCTTGTGATTGTGGAACTAAAAGCTATGAGTTTTTGTAACCAGAGATCTGTTTCTCATGATGTATACATGTGGTTAACTAACAACCATTACTATGTACATGACATCATTGGCCATGCGTTATTTTAGAAGGAAAAGGAAGGTGAGATTATCTGGATTCCATTATAAACTAGATACTTTAGTAACGACTGGTGACAGCGTTTTCCACAAGTAACATAAGCAAGAGGACCCTGTATGGTAGCAATGGAATTGTACAACTCTAATTAAGGCAGAATTTGGCCCTTGATTAGTAAAATGTTTCCAGCATTATATGCATGCCAATTAGACAAAAGTAAATAATTACAACTAGTATTAATCTGTTACTGCCCTATTAAATCATTCTATTTGTCCTTTTATGTTGTAGGTGGAGAACTCAGGGGATCCATGGGAAAATTTCCAAAATAACCAACCACTTACATATTGGGAATGTGTTTATTTACTAATGGTTACAATGTCCACTGTTGGCTATGGAGATGTTTATGCAAAAACAACCCTTGGTCGCCTTTTCATGGTCTTCTTCATCCTCGGGGGATTGGTAAAATGTCTTTATTGCTACTACTACTTTAATACCAGCTCTTTTATATCCCCTAAAGTTTATTAAGCAGCAACCTGAACTGTAGTGTCTGATTTAGTAAGTTAAAGACGTAAGAATTTTAAACAATTCAGCTACATACCTTTTTCTTTTTATAAGAAAAGTATTTTGTTAAGCGAGATCATCATATTTTTGAAGATTGTCATTAATCTACAGTAAGAATAACTCTAATATATTTACGATAGTAATGCATGTAAATACATGAAATGCCTTAGCAATTCTATTTACAGTCCATTACTTTTCAGTGACACTAACTGTTGTGCATTGTTTGATGATGGTCATTGATATTTTGAAGGAAGTTTGCGGTTTCAAGAGCCCTCCCCCACCCTCTGTGTTCCTTCCCAGAATTCCAACAAACACTGTGGCTTAGTACTGCCTTAAAGAGCAGCATGCCTGATACAGACATTAGCAAACCCTGTTCTCTTTAATTTCAAACATGCAACCATGTCATAATGTTCACTCACAGTAGACTACGTTTAGTATAAACACAACACATTTCCTTTAACTCCTTTTAACAAATTGTATCGCTCCTTTTCCTGTTCAAATAAGTATGTACACAGCACTAAAATTACTAATTGTTCTATGTCAAATTACCCTTTTTTATCATTGCTAGTACCACTACAGCAACTGCTGCATTTTGTCTTTTAAAAGAGCAGTTTATGTTAAGATTTATGCTCTGTAAGGTAAGTGTGAATTAAAATTCAGTCACAATATATGTATTGTACGTTTACGTGCACATGTGTATTGTTGTTATACACATATATTTATTGTACATACGCATATGTCTCTCTGTAGGAGGTTTTTGTATAACAGATACATTATCAATGCAAAATGTATAATATATATGCACTTACATACAAAAGACACACATATTTGCATATGGATAAAGAGACCAAGTTGACTGGCAGCAGCTCTTAGAAGTATCCAGCCACAAGCAAGATGTTTGTTGGACAAAACATGGCAGATCATTTTTTTTCTCCTTACTACCTTTTTCTGTCACATGTTCTTTCAAACCTTTTGAAAACAAAACTTTTGAAAAAGGTTGGTTTTGTTTTGTTTTTTTGAGGGGGAGTTGACACCATTTTGATTCTTGAGAGCAGGCAAACGCCTGGCACCATATTGTTTTTTCTTCTTTTGAATCTTCATTGAAAAAGTCCACCTATCTCTCCGCCCACACCCCCCCCCAAAAAAGTAACAATCGTAATATCCACTTTTGTTTTTTGCAGCATGAATAGTCTTCCCTCCTCCCCCCCCCACCCCCCCGCTTCAGGAAGAATTAGACACAGCCAGTATTTTACGATTAGATGCCAATTTGACTTTATTTTGTTCTTCTTTTGTTTTGTGTGCTTTTTTCCCTCTTTTGACCATTACTTTAGTTTATCAAGTATACATCTTCAAGACCAACTTTTACATTGAACCCTCTTATTTTGTTTTATAATTTGCTTTTTTTTTTTCATTTTAAAAATACTTTTATAGGTCTAATTCTTTTGCATTTTCAGATTTTAAAAGATATATATCTTCTGAAAATATTCATCATCCCCCTTTCTTTGGCCTCTCTTTTTAGTCTTTTCTTCTGTCTCCTATCTTCTTCTTAGGCCATGTTTGCCAGCTACGTCCCTGAAATCATAGAGTTAATAGGAAACCGCAAGAAATATGGTGGTTCCTATAGTGCGGTTAGTGGAAGAAAGTAAGTATTCCAAGAGGCTCTGCTGCCTCTGCTGCAGTAGAACACTCTCTGCATGCCATTTTCTTTTTTTGTTTTTTTGTTTCATGCATGTAGGCAATGTTTGCTCGCTACGTGCCAGAAATTGCTGCTCTCATCCTTAATCGGAAGAAATACGGCGGGACTTTTAACTCAACCCGAGGCAGAAAGTAAGTCAAAGAAGACCAGGTGTGGTGGTGACACGCTAAAGAACCCCTGGGTGTGGTGACATCTGACTCATGGACATACACTAATATGCTTGTGCTCTGTGACATCAAATGTCACCACCAGAGAGTTGTCACACTATGTTATTAGAGACGTGGGCCATGCTAAGGTACAAGTCGCAATATTTTGCCCCTTTTTCTAGAGAATATCTGGATACCACTAGAACTAAATTGATACATTCTGGAAGGAACCCTGCTATTGCTTCTGCAGTTAGCTTGTGGAACAAGGTCACATCACACTTTTCTAAGCACCAACCAGCTAGACATCACTTGATTGTCTCTTGAGCAAGTAATTATACTGGTCATCATTTGAAATTACTCCGTCCATGAGAAAATTGGGTATGAGAGAACATGACATGGGCGCTTTATGTTGTCCGGGTTATTTCATTATGATGGCCACACTGGAGGATGATATTGCTACTTTTCATTGATCAAATCCTAAGAGATGCTAACTACATGCAACTTCAGTTGACTTAATTTGGCGTTTGCAGGTGCTCGGCACTTCTCAAGATTTGGAACAGTCTTTTTAAAACCATTATATGCCCTAGCCTGAAAAGCATGCATCCGATGAAGTGAGCTGTAGCTCACGAAAGCTTATGCTCAAATAAATTTGTTAGTCTCTAAGGTGCCACAAGTACTCCTTTTCTTTTTGCACATAAGAATAATTCTTTTTGGCTGGTAGCAACACTTATGCTTAAATAGGCCACATAAACCTTCAAAAATTAACTGCTTTACATTTCCATTGAATGCCTGTTTTTCATCTTGACCATGTTACAACCAAGTCTATCTGAAAGCCATGATAGATCTGTTGGGAAATAGCCTCAAATAAGGTCTATATACTCAGAGAATAATATTCTCTTTTCTGTTCCACTCTACGAGTATTTCCATCTTCTCTTGAGTTCAGCTCATCCTTCTGCCATTCCAGTGCAGAAATGGAGAAAACTGGCCTCAAGACTTTTCACATACACTTTTCCACAAAACATAGTAGAGGACACTCTGAATAATCCTTTTTAGTGGAATCTAATTGTTTGTCCCTCCCCTCATCTTTGAGAATTAAGCATTTCAGTTTAGTCCCTTTGAAACCATCACTTTACACACGATGTTCATGTGACATGAATATGGTAAAATCAAGTTATTTCTCTTCCTTGTTGAGTTGAGAGACTCTAAAGACCTGTAACCATTTACCAGCTAATTCCTGAGCACTGGTTTACACCATGTGATCCACAAGTAAAAGCTTTTCCTTCACTGATTTGTTACATCATTGAGCATTACAATGTGTCCCAGTTAAGCAGAGGATCCTTAATCACTCTTTTTTCCTTGGGTTTTTTTTTTTAAAAAGATACTTTCAAATGCCTAAAATACATAACTACTACCAGTACCAGAATCTGCTAGTACAGTTCACCCAGACTGGTTGGGTCTATAATCCTCAAGATTAACAAAAGCATCTTCATTGGCATTTGCCTTCTCTGACCATCAAAGAGAGAGGGAGATCACTAGTTTCTCCAAAATGTTTAGTTTTAATATCTGTCTACTCAGTTTCCTACATGTAGTCTTAAGTCTAGAAGCTTTTCAAACATAAAGCCACAGAATTAGCTGGTATAACTCTTATTGGAGTTTCATCAGCAGAGAATATGACCCAGTAAATACAGTTATAAAAATACAATTTCAATCCTCCTAGTCTAGTCTTTTTTGTCACTGGTACCCAGCATTGCTCTGTTGTCTCTAATCTTGGACCTGATCTTCAGTCAAACTCCAACACCGTGAAGACCTCAACTCCCAGATCACAGGCTTCCCGCTAGCTTTGGGCCTTGCTTCATCTTATTTTATCACAGCTTTTTCTTTTTGCTTTATTTATATGTGCTCTGTTTGTTTTTAGCTCTTTCTCTGTTGGTCTCTGCTGTCCATACTGCTTGTCAATTGCACTCACTCTGTCATCGGCACACAGACTATTCAATTTACTTTACGCATTGTTTCCTGGTTCAAAAGCTAATTACTAAGTACTTTAAAGAAGTCCTTTGCTCACGTGGATCTATCATCAGAGAATATAAGCTTGGGAACTGCTCAGTAAAAAGCCATTAGCACCCCTTGTTTGATGTTGCTTTTGCCGTCAGTAGAACAAGATTGATGAAATGTTATGCTTGGCCAAAATTTGAGTTTTCATTTGGAATTCAGTGTTGAGAGAATGGGCTGTCAGAACCAATATGTTTTCCTTCACTTGGGATATGGGCATGTGGAAGTAATTAGCAATGTAAGGTCTTCAGTTGAGCAAGCAAGCATAGATTCTGGCAGAAAACATAATGAGAAACTACAGTTGTTCTATTTCTAATGTCAAAAAGTTTCCAGATAAAATTAAAAGTGTCTACAAAATGAAAGCAGCTAAACTTTGTTGAAAGATGTTGTTCAGACTCTTAAAATAGCATGTGTGTTTGATTTTCTCTCTGAGAGAAACACATAAAATGTGTGTGGTGTGTGTGTGTGTGTGTGTGCACAGATGTATACAAATCACAAATATTGTATATATAAAATAAGATGTCTATCCAAATTACAGTATTACACATAGTAGGATGTTAAAAAAAAGATTTCTCAGTTCTTGTGTCAAAAACAATAGAAAATTGCATTATCCAATTTCAAGCCCAAGGATGTATTTTGGGAGAAGTATGCTGTAAACTTATACCTATTGAAGTAGCTGGAACCTATGCATATAAAATATTCCCAATACCTTCAGTCATTCAAGAAAAAAACATTAATTTTGACCATGTTTACACAGTGCTTTTCAACCAAAAAGATCCCAAAACATTTTACAAACTATAGGAATCGTTTTGCTTATTACAGAAACACATTCACCCTGGGGTGAGATGCGTAGATAGCTTGGGAATAGAAGGAGCTCTATGTCGCAAAATGTCCTGTGAGTTTTTTTAATTACATCAAATGTGTAGGACCTCAACTTTGCAACCTGTTCCAATAATGAGATCTCTAAGAGTACAGTCGATAGAATACCATGCAAGAGAATTTGTTCAACACTGACTTTGAGCAAAGTGTCATTTACGGATAACCAACACTATTTATTTAATATTTCATTTGTCACAATATAGCACACTGAGGTATCCCATATAAATATTGACCTTGTTCACCTCATGATATCTGATCCAGTTGCAACCCACTGTACTATGGCTGCAGCACACAAACGAGTAAAAAAAATCCTCAATCCATAATTATCTTTGAGTTTACAATTCTTCTCTATGGAGAATGAGAGCCATGTTTAATAACTGGAATGGAATGACCATAGATCATTTAATGAGAATGCTGTAATCTGCATATTGTAGGAAGAGGACAATTTAAGCTAAAAATAAAAAATAAAGTTCATTCAGTGGGACAATCATAAAGGGAAACATATCTACTTTTCTAATGTTACTAATGGGAGTAATGATAAAAATATTATTATTCACTATATTTTTCTACTTTCATTGTGAGTATATAAGGAACCTGTTTGTTCTGTCCCATAAACTATAGCAAGCACCTATTCTCCCTCCTTTCCATTAATTTCTAGTGACTAGATTTTGTATGCTAAACTGTTTTGCCCTTTTTTGCAAATATTTTTTAAAAGATCATTTAAGGTGGATAGATGCAAAGAAAGTACTATATATGACATTGTCTGTGACTTGTGGCATTCCCATTGATGTCTGTGGGAGTTTGGTTCTCAAATTGAGAACTTTGGTTCTAATTTCTGTATTGCACTATCAGTCTGTAAAGTAAAGAATGGTCTAGTGGTTAGGAATCTGAATGCCTTGGTCCTGTTTTTAGCTCTGCCACAGATTCCTTATTTGACTTTAGGTAATAATGTAATTTCTCTGTGACTCAGATGACCTATTAGTATAATTAAGAGACTAATACTTTCCTCAGAGGGATGTTGTGAGGATTAATTGATTCATGTTTATGCTTTCTGCAGATGAAAGGTGCTTTCTAAGTGTGAAGCAGAGAGAAGTTTAAAGTCATATTATAGTCTGCTATGTGCAGTATTATACACAGTTTATTTCACTATAGACAACACAAGTACTGTACAAGAGCTGTGTTTTATGTATTTAAGCAATTTCATAGGTGGATTTTAAATATAAAGTATATTTAGCAGGCAATGTGGTATTGTACTGCTGAATACTGTATTATGTTACCAATGGCAGTGGTAACATATGATCCATTATAATATCTGGACATCAGGCACTTAGTGATATATTGCATGCTGCAAAGGATGAGGGTGTGGAAGTAATTGTTAACTAAATTAGTAGCATGCTAGGATCATGAAGAACAGGCATAGTAGTTTGCAATGATTAATACTGGACAAAAACAGATGGAGAGAAAAAGTTAGATATAACATGAAGTGAGGAGGGAGAAAAAGCAATGTGATCTGGGAAGTGCAATATAATAGAGGATCTGTAGATCAGGGAACAAAACAAGAAAGATTATAAACGCAAGAAAGCAGGCAGTCATTTTTTACCATGGGTATCACCAGTTACCAGGTGATAATTTATATCTTGAATATTGTGATGTCATTATTTCCCCTTGGTGATTGCGCTCTTCTGAGGAGTTCTGAAATTACCCTATACCCTATGTATAGTCCTTCTCATTTTAAAACTTTCAGCTCAACAGAAACTACAAGGGGCTTCTTTTGGAGCCTGTCAGCAAGCACTCCTGGATTAGCCTACAGGGGACATTTTAGAGCACAGCATAGCTGACCATATATGGATGAACAGGACACCACCAAGTCCA